GTTTATTTCGTTGCCTTCTCGTCAGCTGCTTACAGGGCAAAGACATTATTAAATATATCTACAGAAACAATTTTAATATACTTGCACAGAGTTCATTTTAAACAAAATCAATCGATCAATATATGCATATATATATATATACATATATATATATATACATATATATATGCAATATTAAACACTATTCCGAACAATAGTAATGATACACAATAAAAACTTTTCAGCATCTCGCATTCGGATGAAAAATATCCAGTTACCAGGGCAAAGAAAGACTGACAACCGCTTCTTTCTGAACGCATAAGTCAGGTTTCAGGCGCTTGATGGAGATGGCTTCAGCAAACTTAAGGAGAATTGACCTATTTTGCTTATTGATAATTTTGAACGACTTTTCGACGTCCAACTCATGACCCGTGTCGAGGAGATGCCTGGCGATATCAATTTTTAAGGCATTTGTTCTCTTTAGACGTAAGCTTTTTGGTACATTTTCAGCAAATCGTAGATATGCCCTTCTTTCTGTCCTTCCAATGTAACTGCTTTCGCAGATACATGTAAATTTGTACATACAGTTGGAGTTAACATGAGAAAGATATCTATCGAATTTTGATTGCATTAAAGAGCAAGTTGTTTGATAGACGGGAACGAGCTTGGCTGCAGGATAGGCTATAGCTAGTGATGTACTCAGCTTTCTGTTGATCATCGCTGTAATGTTTTCACCTTTATAACCAAGCTGAAAGTAGATTAGTTTTTTTCTTACTGTGATTTGGTTTACATTTGTGACTTCAGCTCTTACATACTTTAAACAGTGCCATCGCCAGGCATCTCCTCGACACGGGTCATGAGTTGGACGTCGAAAAGTCGTTCAAAATTATCAATAAGCAAAATAGGTCAATTCTCCTTAAGTTTGCTGAAGCCATCTCCATCAAGCGCCTGAAACCTGACTTATGCGTTCAGAAAGAAGCGGTTGTCAGTCTTTCTTTGCCCTGGTAACTGGATATTTTTCATCCGAATGCGAGATGCTGAAAAGTTTTTATTGTGTATCATTACTATTGTTCGGAATAGTGTTTAATATTGCATATATATATGTATATATATATATATATGTATATATATATATGCATATATTGATCGATTGATTTTGTTTAAAATGAACTCTGTGCAAGTATATTAAAATTGTTTCTGTAGATATATTTAATAATGTCTTTGCCCTGTAAGCAGCTGACAAGAAGGCAACGAAATAAACAATGATGGTACCACTTTATTCTGCTAAAACTGTAGTTCTTGCTTTGTTCAAATTTGGTGATTAAAGGCAGCGCGAACAAGCACAAGGTTATACACAAGGCAACATAGATTTCACCTGATGCACTTCATGTCATTCTCGAGAAAGTATTCACTCAGTTTGCTGGATTAAAAATCAAGAAGAGGAGCAGATATGGGTTCAGACTATTATGTAGTGCAAAGAACTCTCAAGGCCAAGCAGAAAGTCTTCAGGAAAGCTGAAGACAGACCACAAATCATATTCAACACTCAAAAACTCATGGAAGAAACCACGAAGGACACATTTACTTCATCCATCGGAGCAAAATCCGAGACGTTATTTAACATTACTGAGGAAACCTGTCTAACCGTTTTAGGAAGACAGAAGATGCATGACGGAGAGTGGCTTTCAACGGACACGTGGAAGCTAATAAAAGATAGGGGGATGGTGAGACAAAAAATAAACCAATGTAAAGATAGACAACAGAAGGAGAAACTGAGTTCAACTCGCTTAAAACCTTCAACAATGCCCAAAAAACATTGAATTTACTCTTGAAGCTGAATCCAACGGAATGCTCCACTTCCTCGACGTCCGTCTGACAAGAAACACCGACAACTCTCTAAAAAAATCCATATGGAAAAAGCTTACACGGAATGGACAGCTTTTAAAGCTTCGTGCTCCTAAGCAGAAAGATGAACCTTATATACACTGTTTCATCCAGGATTCGGAATATATGAAGCCAGAAAGTCATTGACGAAGAACTACATAGTCTCCGAGGAACCCTGATGGTAAACGGTTTTTCGCCTAGGTTCATAGACAAGAATCTCAAATCAAAGAAGACTTTCGAACAAGTCCAATCCGTCCCGAAGAAGATACTTCTGCTTAATCTAGAATTCAAAGGTGACACTGAAGCAGAAATCCTTCGTAAACGCCTTTTCAGATCTCTGAGGAAAAAAATTCTTCGCCGCAAGTCTACGACTGACGTTTACCTGCAAGAAACTGTTCAAGCAGAACACGAAAGATAAGCTGTCGTATTGGGCCAGTTTACTTGCTCTTGCGGAGCTAAGTACATAGGCCATGCCATACGCCAACTTAAAAAACGCGCTCGTGAGCACTATCCAGACTGGCTAGTAAAAGGAGAACGAAAAAGTGTATATAGCTCAGTGACAAAACATCCGGTCAATTCAGGACATTCAGTGCCATTCAAAAAATCCTACCAAAGGGAGTAAATTTGAGACATCTGGGCATAGCCAAGGTACTAGCCATTCAAAAGCTCAAACCCACGCTATGTATCCAAAAGAAATACGTTCAACCCTTGTCCCTGCCATGGCTATCATAAACAGGTAATTCTTTTAATAGTGACTATCCCATTGCCTTTTTTATCCAAACTTCCTGTTTATTCATGTTATTTTCAATTTTTTCTTAATCCCTATTTACACTACCATATTTTCATATCTGAACTTCCTGTCTATTTTATCATTTTATTATTTCTACATATTTAATCCCTGATTGCATAAACAATTATTCGTCACATTAGTTTTTTTATCCAAACATTCTGTCTATTTTGTTATTTCTACATTTCTAACCCCCAATTGCACAATATGTCAATCTTCTCAGTAATTATGATGCTACTTTGTTTGAGTTTTATCCTTCCCCCTGTTTATTATGGCATTCTAATTCCTAATTGTTATTTTGTTAGTTTGACCCTTGACCGGAAATTATTCTGGAACTTTCTCACCCAACTGTCTTTTTATTATTCCCTATGATCAAAGAAGTGAAGTACAAAAAATGTTAGGAAGGGCCTAAAGTAAAACAGGCTGAAGGTAATCTGGACCTTATATTATATTATTATATCAGATAACTACCAGCTCTCTTCCCAGGATACGATCAGTGCAGAAGAAACCAATGAAAGTTATTAAAGGAAACCTAGACTGCAACTTAAAAAGGAAAGAAAATGGGAAGTTAAGCACTAGTGTTTACAGGAAACCCACACATTCAAACAGATATTGGGATTTCCAATCATCCCATCCTTTGTCAGTAAAAATAGGATTGGTGAAATCTTTAAGTGACAGAGCACGAAAACTAAGTAGCACCAAGGAAAATCTAAGACAGGAAGTGATACACACAAAAGAAGCCTTGAAACTTAATAATTACCCGGATAAATTAGTCACGAAATATGTAAGGAAATGTAAAAACAAAATACATAATGATAGTAGCGATAGTGACAATAATAATGGTAATAATAATATTAATGACGACACCAATAATAAGGAATCTTAATCATCAGTAGTAATTCCATACAAGGAAGGAACCTCGGAAACCTTACTCAGAGTTCTTAACAAGGCAGGAATAAAAATGGTTGGCATTCAAACCACATACAAACAAGCTTTATCGGTTAAAAGATCAATCCTGTGGAGCCATTAAAACAAAACAATTTAGTTTATCTAATATCCTGCTGGAATGACTGTCAGGTCAAATACATAGATCAATCCAGTAGAACAGGAGCAGTCAGTCAGACTAGCCGAACATAAAAACCCAGCAGCAAAATCTAGATAAGATAAGAAATCTATAGCATTCACTACATGCAATTACACACAACCATACAATAGGATGGATGGGATAGGATGACAGTTTAAAATCTAATGTAACAGGATGGAGAAAGAGATTGATAACAGAAGCTTTGTTTATCGAATCAACTGCAAATACATGTAATAGAAATGATTCAACACCTGTCCACCCAGATATCTGGAAAATTCTACTACCCCTGTGGTGAGAGTTGTCTACTAGCCAAATTGGTAGACAGTAATTTACATCAATATTTACGTTTCCAAGATTTGTCGTGAGAAAATGTGAACAAAGATTCAAAACCGACCACAGCAGACTTTGCGTAGGCGGATGCAGTTAACATATAGAGGATTTGACATTCAAGAAACAGTCACAAAGAGATGAAAGATTAACTTTACGTGAGAAACAACCAATCAGAAGACTGTGTTTGTTTACTTAAATATCCATAGTAATGTACATGAAAATATATATAAATATGCGTTGATTTCCTTAATAAATGATCTGTTGCCTGACTCTTGCCTTCTGTCGTTACACCCCAACGACGACGAATAGGAGAGAACAAAGAAAAACTATAAAACTCAAGTTTCGAAGTCGTGTGATTATAATTGATATGATTATGAACAGTAATAAATTTTGTTCGAAACTGTGTCATCCAGTAAATAATACGACTGTTTCACTCACTGTATGATACATCTAGTAAACAAACTAATATGGAATTAAAGGAAACCTAGTTACCAATCGCTTTAAAGGACTCTTGAACCCAACTACCACATAGATGTCATCCAGAAATGCCACCAACAGTAAACACATAAGTACCAGTGAATACCATCTTCTGAAGGAAAGAAACCCAAAAGTCTTCAATGCCATAAAGTTACTGGAAAACAATAGAAGAAAGACTTCAATGTATTTTTTAAAAGAATTAATAAAAGAATTATTAATTCCTTGATTGGTCCTATTGTCTAATTCAGGTAGAAAGAGTGTGTGTGTGAGAGTAAGGGAGAGGGAGAGGGAGAGAGAGTGAGATAGTCACCTGATTAAATTTCAACCAATCCCCGTTGAGACATTAATTTTCATCCAATCTAATTCATCATAGTCAACCTGCCAACCATATTGAATTGTGAATAAGACACATCATTGCTTACCATTATGATTATCCTTTCATGCTGTCTATAAAAGTCATAAATCATAAACCACACACACGCACACAGACAATGTACGCATTCACACACATACATACACACAATATTTATTACCTGGTGATATTTCTTCCTCCTTCTTATTTATGTGAAACAGACGGCAAACAAAATTAAGCAGGGAAGGAATAACTCTGGTCACCGGCATCTAATTCCCTGAATATCTATCTACCTGGATTTATTTTTAATGTTTGCAAGATAATTTATAGTCCCCATTTCCTTCCACAATGTACCACCATATTCTGAGCAGTAATCATTTGTCTATGATAATTATTTTACTTAATAGTAATGAGTTATTCATAGCCACACTGAACAGTAATCCTGTTACGTCAGCATCCACATCCTCCTCATCTTCATCATCGTTATCGACAGGAGTCTACGGTCAACAAAGATGTATGAAACCGGTACCAATACAAATACCAGAATGTCAAAATACCTTTTATAATTATACAGGTATGCCAAATTTAGTCGGTCAAGAGACCCAGTTCGATGCTAGACATCAGTTACAAACTTTTAAACCACTAATCACCTACAAGTGTTCATCAAAGTTAAATTTTTTCCTTTGTTCCGTATATACACCAATGTGTGATGTGAATACGCATTATTTAATTGGACCATGTCGTCCATTGTGTGAACATGTTCGAGCAAGATGTGCACCTGTGTTAAGAGTCTTTGATTTTGATTGGCCAGAGAATTTGAATTGTTCAAGATTCCCGGTGAAAAATAGTGTTGGCGGTGCAATGTGTATGGAAGGTCCAGAAGACTTGGATGAGGATAATGATAATAATAATATTAATAATCAGGATACACCACAGAATAGTATGACAAATAATCAATTAAAAGCCAACGGGAATAATCCTGTTGTCTATCAGAATTTACCGTTGGATCCTTCCGTGAAAGAAGTGCTACACGCAATCTCATTAGATGCCAATCATAAAATGCCAAATCATGTTGAAGGAATCAAAGAAGAAGAAAGAGAAGGAGTAGAGGCGGACGAGGAAAGAGTAAGATTTAGCAAATTAATGGAAACATTGACCAGTGGAGATTTACCTTCAACAATAACAGGAACTAACGATCTCCTACCGCATACATTCAACTCCCAACTGGCTAAATATCCAATACCGTTAAGTCATTTAGCCCAATCGATACGGTATTGTTCACATTTGAAAAAACCAACCTTTTATGTTTATATTAATCGTACGGGGAGGTGTGCACCCCTATGCGAAGCTGATATTCTCTATACAACTGAGGCCAAAACACTATCAACAATGTGGACCAGCGTATTAGCCGGTATCTGTAGTCTAGTGACAACATTCACCCTTGTAAGGTATGCAATGAATCCGTGTGATTTTCGACCAAATGAAAAACCAATCGTTTATATTGCACTGTGTCAATTATTTTTTGCTCTTGGTTATGGGCTGAGTTTAGGCCTGGGTAGAGAAACAGTAACATGTGGTCGTGATTTAGACTCAGGACGTAAAATTCGACTGCAAGAAGGTTTAGACAATGCCATGTGTGCATTTGTCTTTATGATCCAGTACTTTTTCTCGATAGCTAGTTATATTTGGTGGACAATGCTTGTATTTCATTGGGCGTTGCAAAGAAGCGGTATGATATTCTCGTGTTTATGTTGTTCAGCAGGCTCGTCATCATCAACGCCACCGATACCCCTGCAATCACAACCACCGGTTCCAGTGGTACCATCTGCGACGGGTAGTAATCCTTGTGAAATGAATATTAAGCCTGATGATTCAAAATTCACTAGTGGTTGTTTTAAATGGAACTGTTTTTGTTCATGCCCTGAAAATGCGGTAAATTCGAGTAAATCTGAAATTATTACAAATGAAGGATTAGTTCAGAATAATCCACCTCTGACGACAGCGGCAACTCAAAATGATCCTACGAAAAGAGATCGTTATTGTTATTATCACTATCATCATCAGCAAAATCATCATAATCAATATTGGTCAACAATGAACTCTAATCATCAAAGATATGGCATGTTTACACCGAAAACAGATCAGATTACAGCATGTTTAGCTAGAGAACATGTCGTCGCCTGGTTGACTGCTGGTCTATTCACTGTTGGTGTTCTTGTTAGCCGACAAGTAAGTTAATGCAAGAATTCTTATGATGAATGAATAAAATATGATTTATTGATCTATATATGTATTTTTTTGATTAAAGCTTGATTCCACACTGTATTTTTTTTATGCAAGTATGGAATTTTCAGCATGTGATATCAGTAACCCAAATTTTGCAGGCCGACCATTGATATCAGGTGTGCATCGGCAGGGGAACGAACGCCGGACCATTTGCATGGTCGGTGAGGGTCCTAACCGCTGTGCCACCGACGCCTATAATATCAAATGTTAGTTTCCAGTGGTGTGATTGGCTACCAGTGTGATCATGAGTTACAGAACCACTGAAAAACCCAGAAGGTAAACTACTACTGAACAGCTGTTTCGTCCTGGTTCGGGAGCCTTCATTAAGATGAACCCAGTGGGGTTTGAACCGTTCAGCCACGGAGACCCCATCCATTGGCTGGCCTAGTTCAACAATAGCGTCCCTGGAGTGCGAACGCTCCAATGACCTTGAACGCATGCTAGTCGTCGTTGGCTAACGATATCTGCCATTATAAATAAGCGTAAATATGAACGCTATTCACCAACCAAGGGGCAAATTTCACCCAGATCACGTGTTTAAGTACTGTTTAGACGATGTGTTAATAGCTCGTTAGGGTAAGGATTAGGGTTAGTGTTAAGTTTAGGATCAGTTTTATGGTTAATGTTACGATTTGCGATAGATTTAGATTTGATGTCATTTATTTTAATTTGTTTTATCATTCACATTTTCCTGATAAGTAGTTGTCGATCCTCTTACTGTAAACAATAGTAATTCAACCGAAAGCTTTTTGGGAAGACTGCACAACAGGATAAGAGGGATAAACGATTCACAAAAACAGCTCATCCTTAGTCATCTCGGTGAATACGTGCACTGAAACTAGTCTAACTTGGCAACTGATACTCCTCATTATAACTGGGAGGTATTTTTAAGTCTTATCAGAGAAAGATACCCTGTTTAATGTGTTTTCATGCGTTTTTTTTGTAAATAAACGTCAGTTTCTGTGCAAAAATCCCCCTGGGACGGTATTGTTAAATTTTTCCCTGTCAACTTGTGATCACTCTCATATGGCATATATGACGCTTAAAATTCTTGGAATTTATGTTATGAAAATGTGCACAACCACTAATTTATTTAAATTTTTATCTAACCCTTGTCATAAGTGATTCACTCTATAAGTAAAAATTTCCAATCATATGAAATGTATCATTAGAAATAGGTTAAGATGGTATCTATAGGTTAGTTGGTGGATGGTGACTAGCAGTAAACGGAATCCAGGATAATGCGCATTTTGTCCTATTTGGGACTCGTCAGCCACTGGATGTACCTGCATTCCGCAGTGAGTGATGATGAAGGTGCGTCCAACTGACGAGTCCCGAATAGGACGAAATTCGCATCCTGGATTCCATTGCTAATTACCATCCACCAATTAACTTCTAATTACATGCTCAGACATCGTCGAAGCATCTGCACAAGAAGCCAATAGACATGTCAACCTCAGATCAAGCACTTCAGTCCAATCAATCGACGCGAAAATTTAAAATTGAATTAAATAAGATGGTATCATCCCTGTTTTTTTATTCCATCGCCTTCTCGTCATCTGCCGACACCATGAAGAAGTTCATTAGACTTATGTTTAGAAGAAAAATTATTGACCTCCTTGCAAATGTTACATAACACCAGTTGACAGGAGACTGACAACTTGATAAACAATGCGAGGAAATTACACTTACATAACCTTTACATCGAAAAGTTCTTGGGTACAGTGACGAAGCAATTATGGTACAAAAGAAAGAGGTGAGTGAGTAGATGATGCGTAACTAATAAATTAAGTAAGAGTGCGGTGAGCTCAATTCACTTGATAGACACAAGAGACAAGTAAAGTCACACCATATCAAAGAGGGAGAGGGAGGGTTTAAAGTTAGTGATTACCAAATCAAATGAAAGAGAGGGTAAAGATATTCAGTTACCAGGTCAAGAAAAGACTGATCATTTACGCTTTTTGTTCCACTGCAACAGTTTATCTATACTCAGAGGGAGTCTGGTGAACTAAACTTGGTTGTTTTAAATACGAGAGATAATTAAGTAGTATATAGACAATTTTCTAATAAAATCATTGTTGGTGGAAGTAAAACACACGTTTTAAGCAATAAAACAAGGAAGATAAACAGTGCAACCAGGCGATTGAAACAGTTTGACAGAACCTGTGTCAAATATCCCTTAAGCAACTATATAATAAATAACCAAATGTATACAGTTCCCAATAAAAAAGAAATACATTCATGCAGTCCTAATTAGTTATTACTGTTCTTTCTCTAAGTTGGATGGTTTAGCTGAGAAGTTTCCACTTTCGACGAGTATTTGTCCTTATACCCGACCTGCTGTACCCCACTGGTGATCACGACTTCTCACTAGAACCTAGGTAACTAACTACCTGAATAGAGCCAATCGCTAGTAGACATCAGACTGATTCGTCGCAGGATTTCATCATGAGTTGACATCGGTTAGAGAACCACTGGAAAGCCTTGGAGTACTGAACAGCTGTTTCGTTTCAATTTGTGACTCAACCGGGGTTCGAACCCAGGACCTTCCGGTAACAAGTCGAGCTCGTATTGAGAATGTAATATGGTAATGAATAGTTGTATCCTTCATCTTCACCTGAGCTTAGTGGTAATGTAATGAATCGCTTCAAGATTGCAGATAGGCCTCGTTGACTTGCTAGTGCCAACAAGCACGAAAACTACGTTTTTCATGACTTCCTGACAATCGCTTCTAATCATCTAATGACAGAAATTTAGAGTGAACTGTGATGGCAAGCCACCTAGTGGCATGGTATCCACATTGTAAACTTGTGTCTACATCAAAACCAAGGATTAGATGCATGAAACTAGTTATCATCCACTGTCCAATCAAAGAATCATATTTTCCGAAAGGTCTCATGATAATTACCCTAGACAACATCCGTTTGTCTTAAATTTTCTGCTAGCATTTTAACCCATAACATTTCGTTTTCTAATGGGAATTAGTTAAGTGGTTCAAGGTATTATGACCTCTTAACTCATTTAATTAATTAATTGATTAATTAGCATATTTATTTATTTGTTTATTTAAATGGGGTCTTGAAGGGATTCAGACATGACACAGGAAGTGTGAGATGAATGAAATTCTATACATCATGAGAGAGACCAGTATCTATAGGTAGCCGACTACTGCTATTGGTCAATTTAGAAACGGTGAATATTTTAAGTCTGAACTATCAGGTAGTTAAAAATAGCATTATTGGTAGTAATACAACCGAAGGTTTAGCAGAAATTGAAATATTATAAAGAATATTGTTATTATCACTATTCCCTTGCGTTCCGAGTGGAACATACGGCTTCGACAACACATCTCCACTTTGTCCTATCTTCTGCCGTCCTCTTCAGGTTAGACCACGGTTGCCCACAATCTCTCATCTCCTCCTCGCCACACGATCTCCACCATGTCACCCTTAGACGACGCAGTCGTCGCTTCCCATTGGGATTCCACTTGAGCAATGGGCTGCATTTCGCGCGATGTTATTCGACGGTCTTTTCAACGTATGTCCAATCCATCCATCTCCATTTTCTCCTACGTATTTGTTGAACAGTCGGCTCTTCGTTAGTTTGTTCCCACAGTTTCTTGTTGCTTATTCTTTCTGGCCATTTGATCGATCTTGAGTATGAAGCGAAGGCAGATGTTGATGAAAGTCTACAACAGGCTGTTGGAAATGCTTTTCGTGACATACGCGCAGTGCAAGTTTCTGACCTGTATAGAAGAAGTGACTGACTGACTTCACAGTTGTGTTGAAAATCCGAATCTGGTTGTTTATGCTGGTTGAGCGAAGCAGATTTGCAAACTGGTTTCAGATTGATGAGGGTATATCTTGCATTTCCAATTCTGGCTGGCTGGCTTTGATATCTTCATCCGTTCCGACTACCTGTGATTGAACGATGCTTACCAGATAAGTGAAGGAAGTAATCTCTGTTAAATCTCTCCCATTGATGGTGATTGGTGCTGGTTGTTATTATTGTTGCTGTTGACTGGTTACTTTCATCACCTCCGTCTTCTCTATGTTCACCTGGAGTCCTGTCTTCGTTACCTGTCTGCTTCTCCTGTCAGTTCTTTGATTTTCGCCTGTAAGTTTTCCAGTTTATGTGACATTAGACATATATCATCTAGGAAATCCAGATCTACTTATCGGTAGTCCAGTGTACTCCAGTCTCCTCGCTTCCAACGCACAGTCTGACGCAAAATCCGTTCCACCACAATTAAGAAATTATAAAAATCGCCCAACAAATATGCAGGAGGAAGTGGAGATGGATTGGACACTCGCTGAGGAGGCCGTTGAGTGACATCGCGCGCCAGGCCCTCGAGTGGAACCCGAAAGGGAAGCGGCGAGAGGTACGTCCAAGGGTGACATGGAGGATATCGTGTGAGGAGGAGATGAAACAGTATGGAATAACATGGACGCAAGTGAAAAGAACAGCAGAAGACAGAAGCAAGTGGAGACGTGCAGTTGAAGCCCTATGTTCCACTAGGAACCCAAGGGAACAATAATAATAATAATAATAAAAGACTGTTGTTACACACTCATATTCATCTGAGTTAAAAACCGCATGTATGGAAGTGAACGGGTTAGAATAGATCCCCATTAACAGATAACGATACAGAATCAAGTTATTTGTCGGAAACTGATGAAATTTAAAATTCCAGATTTTTGGAGATTTGTGGGAATCGTCACTAATTTCAATGTATTAAATTTTAAGTCATGAATTGATGCCTGATGGAAAACTAGTATGCACCGTTGAACAGTTCCAGACTAGGACGAAACAGCTGTCTCGTACTTCATAGTCTGCCAATGATTCTTATAAATGATTGACGACCTTAATGTTAAAATCGAAACGAATGTAAATCTTCAGCTGAGTTATTTTCAATTATTTACCAGTAACCTGTATGGTCTTAT